CAGGGCTGGTAAAGCAATGCCACACATTCTTCAGGAACCCTAGCTCCTTCTACATCATTACTTTGCCCTGTCATCAGCTGGATTCTGCCTCATGGCCCAACGTGGCTGCTTGTGCTCTAGCCATTGTGTCCACATTCCAGCCCTAGCATGAAGAAGCTTTCCAGGATTCACCCAAGACGCTTCTGCTCACTCCTTTTTGGCCAGCCTGGGTTACACAGCCCCACACAGCAGCAACGAAGTCTGGAAGATGAGTCTCCACTGGACAGCCATGGGCTCCGTTATGATCAGGGATTCTACTACTGAAGCCAATAGGAGCAATGGACATTGAGGGACACGTGTTCCCTATTCATTGATGAGCTGCCCGCCTGCCTCAGGGGCTCCCTGGGGATCTTGCCATCTGAGGGGCCACACTCTGGGCTTTCCTTCCTCCAGCCTAGAGCCCCTGGCTGCTGGGAAGTGTTCAGTGTCCTTGAGAGGTCTTCAGGGACCTACCCCACTCCCCAGCCCACGCTGGATCCACAGCTCAGTGCTTGACACTCCCCTCATCAGAACACCTGTGATGGCTCCATTTGATCACATTTCAGCTTGGAGTGTAGACTGCATGCCCTCCCTCCCTCCATTCATTCATTCATTCATTCATGCACGCATTTATTCATGCATTCATTCAGCAAACATCAAGGGCTGCTGTGTGCCAGGCACAAAACAGGTGAAGGGGTGGAGACACCCAACTAACCAAACCAGGTCAAATGCTGGGACATAAAGGTCGTGCCCAACCAGTCCAGGGGCACTGGGATGGCTCTCCAAGGGGCTGGTATCTGGTCTCTTCACCTGAGGGGTGAAGCTTGGACGACCACGTGCAGGAGGCAGGAGCAAGAGTTCAGGCACTGGACAAGACCGCAGGGGTCAGAGGAACGTGGGGGCTTCGGGAGCTACAGGGGGCTGAGCAGAGCCAGAGGGCTCTTAGAGCGATGAAGCTGGGGCCTCAGTGGTGCTTTCCCAGAGGGCACTGGGACAGCTTCGGGAGGTCAGCACTGAGGATTTGGGGGTGCTGGAGATGGGGTCTGGGCCCGAGAAAAGGGACACCGCTGGGTGAGGTGGCTCACACCTGTAATCCCAGCACTTTGGGAGGCTGAGGCGAGAGGATCACCTGAGGTCAGGAGTTTGAGACCAGCCTGGCCAACGTGGCGAAACCTCATCTCTACAAAACAAAACAAAACAAAATTAGCCAGAAATCACTTGAACCCAGGAGGCGGAGGTGGCAGTGAGCCA